GTCAGAAACAGAAGAAACAGCCTCCTAAAACAATTCAATTGCTACCTTTTCTTGAATTATACAAATTGATCCTTCTGCATATTCTTATCTCTGCATTTTGCCTACCTGGCTAGCCAGCTCAAGTTACTCATGTAATTCTCATCATCCTCACTGTCACTCATCCCTGAGCCACCCCCTTCTTCACAAGATAATAAATTCTGGGAGAAGCCTAGGACCAGGGCCTTTGTCCACACATCTTCGTGGGAATTGGACTTAGGGCCCCTTGGCTGCCCTTAACTTGGGGTCCTTAACTTGCCTTAATATGTCTTGGTGTCTTTACTCTCGCCGTGGGTTGCATTGAAGGTGGCAGATAGGAATTAACTTGCTGGGATTCCAATAATGTCTCAATGGGATTACAAACATAACTTTTTGGATTGTGAGAAAGACTGAAAAAGTGATTACAATATTTGGATGACTGTACCAATATCTGGGATTACAATATTTGGCACCCAACAAACACTTAAGACAGCTCTGATAGTTTGACTTGTCAAGTGTTGGCTTGTCATATGTGAATGATTTCAAAATATTACTTTAAGCTCTTACAGAAATGTTTATTTGATATTTTAATAAAACATAGCTCAGTTACCAGTGAAGTCTATTGTGTCTTTCACATTCCTAGGTTTGGAGTCTCCTCTGAAAGGACATTTTTGCTGGTAGGTAACCTGGCCTTAAAAGGAGGAGTATCATAGACAAATGGTCACCAGAGGCCAGTGAGGGAAAGGAAGAGGGGAGGGAGGTGGATATCAGGTACCAAAATACAGTTAGAGAGAAGCAATAAGTTGTAGTGTTCTGAAACCACCCCAAACTGTAAGCCAAATAAACCTTTCCACTTTACTGATATGGGTATTCAGTATTGTGTCTCAACAGTGAGAAAGTAACTATGACACAAAAGAAATCACAAAGAACCTGAAATGTGCTTCAGGCTGGAGCCTGCTGTGCCACTTCTGAGGGCACATGGAGGACCTGAGGCCAAAAGGCCCCAGCCAGGCTGGCCCTTACCTTGGATATTCTGCTGTAGCGTCAGCAAGGAGCTAGCAAGTCGAACCAGAACAGCACAGCCATCGCGTGGAGACTGCAAGAACACTTGCCAGGAGACCCTTCCCTACCCAGCCTGGCCCATGCTGCCTCTGCAGCCATGGGAGAACTGTGTCATCTTTGCTGGCTGCAGCAAGCACCCTTGGCCTCAGTGGCCCTGCCCCGCAGTGCCACAGCACAGTGTGAATACAGACCCAGTTCTCCAGAGGGTTCTGGGATCCTGGACTCACCAACCTTTGGTCATGAAAATTAAAAATTAAATGATGGAATTTAAAAAGTACTCAGTTGTGAAAGTGACTCTTTTAGTCCAAGCACAATGAGAGATTTACACTAAGAATCACCTCAGGGCAATCACTCCATGGCCACCCCCACTGCGGCTGGTACAGCTGGATAGAGGCAGACATGTGGGGCTACCACATGTCTGGCTCCAGCAGGTTCTTTCCAGCCTTTTCCTTGGCTTTATCCTTCTCTCCCGCCTTCCTCTCTTCCTCCAGGGTCACCACAGTCTCCACTACCTGGCTGATAGAAATGTGAACATATTCAGTGTTACACGGGAAAGGAAAAGGGGGTCGTGCCACAACATTTACCTATTCCCCTTCACAAACGGGAGTGGAACACAGGGTTCCTTCCTAGAACAGTGCATCCGTCAGCACTTATGCATTTCCCTGCTCTCCAGGAGTCCCTGGGTCCACCATCGGGCCCAGGGCTCATAGTACCAGATTCCCCAGAGCACAGATCTAGGGGACGCAAAGTCCCAGACCTGGATACAAGAAGCAGAGAGAGGGATTCAAAGTGCAGGAAGTAGGGATAACAGGTGAGCTTGCCTCAGAGCTGGGGCATGCAGGAAGGAGGGTACTCCACAAGGGGCCAGACACACACAGAAAGGCTGCTGCAATCAAGTCCCTGCTTAGGCAGCATGGTCTACAGCTGGAGGCCAAAGATCTGGCCTGAACTGTGGCTTCCCCAGGGCAGAGAGAGAGATAATGAAGGGGGGGGGGTTAAGGGCCGTGAACCCTATGCCACATAGACTAAAGAATGGGAGAGAGGTGAGAAGGCTCAGCATGCCTGTCTTCTGGGGTCTTGCTTTTAAAATGAATGAATCTGAGCATGGTGGTTTATGTCTATACTCCCAGCTACTTGGGAGGCTGAGACAAGAGGATCCCTTGAGCCAAGCATTAGAGACCACCCTGTACTACACAGCCAGATCTTATCTCAATTAGGAGGAGGAGGAGGGGGAGGGGAGAGGAGGGGAAGGAGGGGGAGGGAGAGGAACAGAAAGAGGAGAAGGAGGAGAAGAAAAAGATGAAAGTGAGGGGGAATGAAGAGGGAGGAGAAGGGGAAGACCCCACCAACTAATCTGAACTAAAAGGAATTGACGTATATTCTTGGTAAATATGAAGAATCTCTAGCTTGATGAATGCACCGGGCACCATGCTGGCAGGGTTAAATTGCTGGCCACAGTGTTCTGTGATTATCTTCCCTCTCTAAAAACAAGATAAAACCGCCTCCAGGTAGCTGACTCCCTCAAAGGATCTAAAGGCAATATACTGCCACCCTTAGAGATCAGACAGTTCTCCCAATCAGCACTGCTTGAAATGTCTTTGTTCTACTTCTCAAGGCCTTGCTCATTTTCACAGGCTTTTGCCTCAGATGTGCCCTGCACCTCCTGCCCCTCTTAAATTATTAAGGATCCAACAAATACAGTCAGTCCAGGGAAGGCTTTGCCTTAGTGCTAAGACAGTTGGTGACTTTTCTGAACTCCCACAAACCACATTTGCAATTTGTTTTTATTTAATTCTTTTCTGTATGCTTGTCCATAAGATCTGGAGCTTGGCCAGCTCCCAATAGCAGCTGCTGCTCAGATTAAGATTAATATTACGAAAGATCAGTGATAACTTTCAAGTTAGAATCCAAACTTCTCTGCTGGGCTGGATCCTTTTCCAAGGTCCTCTGGACTGACCCAGAACCTGTCCCAAACCACTACCAATAGGTGTGGCATTTGCAGGCCTTCAGATGTGTCCTCAGCAGATTTGTAATTTCCCAGCTCACACACGCAGACCTGCTGAAGGTCCTCAAATCAGAGTAAGGGGAAGCATCCTAGAGCATCGTAGCCTGCTTCCCTCCCCCCAGTTCCCCACGGGATCTACTCCTGACCACAAGGCATCCCGCTAGACCCAGGGCTTCACAGTAGTTCTAGAGCCTGAAAACACCAAATGTCAGGGCAAAAAGCAGGTGGCCCGCATCAGAGGGACATTCTCACCATGCTTTTCTCCTCATTGCCAACTGCTTGGAGAAGGAGATGCAGGTACTCTGTGGAGACCACACAAGCGGGCGCCAGGGGAGTACAGCATACTGGAAATGCATGCAGCTCCAGGGAGGAACAGAGGATCTGGAATTACACCTAGCACCACATACTTAAGCAAGTAGGAAGAGGATGTCTCATGCGGTATTGTGAAATAGTTCTCAGATGTCTTGTGCAATGCAGCTATGTTTGGATAGTACAACAATGTGAACCATCTCCAGGATCAGAACTGGAGAAGAACTGCGAGAAGTGGATGTTCAGCCCACCAATATTTTATGTAGGCCTCAGTCTGTGGCTTCCTTTTTATGGTGATCATTTGGTGAGTTAATAGAGTTTGTGCTCTATCCTAAGAGCTGCCTTTTCTCAAATGCACTCTGGCTGCAAGGGTGTCTGCTTTGACCTCAGCTTGTGGCCTTCCTCTGACAGTTCAGACAAACTTCTTTTGTTTGACAGCACAGATCAAAAGCTGTGAAAAATCCCTCCAGTGGTGACAGTGTTCCACACAAGAGCAGGTATCCAATGCACAAGCTTTTGCTACAGCAGCACTGAGCCTCAGTTCAAAGAAATAGAGGCACCAGTACCTGTGCTGGACACTGCCGGCATTTGAGGTATGAAGTGAGATGCACTGTTAGGACTCAGGGCCAGGCACTTCCTGCGTGAGTCCAAAGGAAGTATTGGGGTAATTTACAAATACCTGGAATATTTCATCAGTATTCATTATGCCAAGGATATTCTTTGCTTAACCCGATTCTATCTGTTTTAAGTGATGCTGTATTTTCTAGGGGACTTGCATGTCCAATATAAAATAAATCACATCTCTGTAGTATTACATTGATGCTTTTTATTTTATTATTTATTTTATTTTGATACCTTGATAAGTTGATGATTTTTAAAAATTTTATTTAAAGAAAGATAAACAAAACAGAAAATAGGTAGAAATAATACATACTTTCAGAGAAAAAAATAAACAGAAATTACATATTGTCGTTTTACAAATAGTTGTTCAAGATACAAAAATGGAACATGTAAAGTGGGAATTCAAACAGTGAGACTGCAAACAGTTCTGTTCAACTGTCCAACAAAAACTTAGTAGCATGGTTGTCAATCCTATACATTTAAACATACATGCAGTTATCCATATCTTCATTTATGTTTAGAGTAAACAAATGAAAGCAGGTTAAAATCATTCTGAACAAAGAATAATAGTATTGCTGGATTTCACATCATGACACTCGATGATCAGCACTGGGTCTTTTTAAAAAATTTAATTTAATTGTCTTTTTTAAAATTTTAATTTAAAGAAAGACAGAAAACAGGTAGAAATAATATGTAATTTCAAGGAAAAAAATAAACAGTAAGAAATCACAACTTGATGATTACATATTGTCATCTTACAAATAAAGTAGGGATTCAAACAGTGAGATTGCAACCAGTTCTGTTCAACTATCCAACAAAAACTTAGAAATATGGTTATCAATCGTATACACTTAAATATTCATGCAGTTATCCATATCTTCAATTATGTTGAGATTGAATAAACCCAAGCAGGCTAATATCACTCTAAACAAAGAATAATACTATTGTTGGGTTCCACATTATGACACTCCAGGATCAGCACTGGGTATTTTAGTGTCTCTTTTTCTTTAAAGTATCTGTTCATTTCATCATGTGTCATAAGGTCAGTTCTCATAAACTGTTTATAGATTCTACATATGCATGAGTCTTAACATGTATTTCTATCCTTTCTATATTAGAGGGAGAAACAAAACAAAGCAAGACAAAACAAAACATATTGCTATAAACACATGAAACAAACAAAAAAAAAACATGTAAGACCGTTGTACAAAGAGTTCTACCATGGTTCCTGTGTTGTCTCTTGTTATCTCCAATAGAATTGGCTATATCATCAGACATAATATAATTGCATATATCAGTACACAACAGTATTAATAAAGTCACAACTTTGTATGTAGCATAGAACTTCAAAAACCGGCAATTATCAAATCAGAATGTGTATCATAGAGTCATGTGATTTTCAGTGTAGTTGCCTATACTCTCAGACTTGATACTATCAATCATATCAGTTTTGAATAAAATCATCTCTGCCTCATTTCTGTTATGCTCTTTTTTAGCCATCAGTTGTCTGCTTATCTTCTTCTTTCTGTTTTCTGCTCCATTCATTGAGGCCTCTCTGCCACTGTTCCTGGAATCCTAGTACTTATCTCTCTCTCTAGAATGCCCTGCAGTATTCTCTGTAGACTTTGATTGGTGGTTGTGAATTTCCCAAGTTCCTCTTTGTCTTGGAAGCATCTTGTTTCTCCATTAATTTCTAGAGACAGTTTATCAGTATATATCAATCTGGGATGGAGGTTATTTTCTTTCAGGGCTTGGACTATTTTGCTCCAGGCTCTTCTTGACTTGATGGTTTGTGTTGAGAAGTCTACTGTTATTCTGATGGGCTTTCCTTTATAGGTGATCTGTTTCTTGTCTCTAACAGCTTTTAATATTATGTTCTTATATTGAATTTCTGGGATCTTGATTATTATATGCCTGGGTATAGCTCTGTTTTGGTTGTATGTGGCTCGAGTTCTGTATGCCTCATATATCAGAATATCTTTCCTTTTCCTATGTTTGGGAAATTTTCCTTAATTATTTCTGTGAATAACCTTTGTAGTTCCTTTGTTTGTACCCCAGCTTCTTAATTCACATTCTTTATTCTCAAGTTATAGATCCTCTTGTTGTCTTCTAGCCTTTGTATTGTTACTGCTTGTTTCCTTGTTATTTTTAAAAAGTTTTCCCTTTCATAATCCTACATCACAAAACTGTCCTCCAGTTTGGATAATCTATCCTTAGTTTCTTTCAAGCTGATTTGCCATCTTTCCATAGAGTTTTTAATTTCCTGATGATCTCTTTGAATCTGCTTCATATATTCTATATTTTTTATATTCTTCATCAAATGGTTCTCTCCTTTGAGTTCTTCCCTTCTTTCATCTGTGTCTTCTTGAGGGGTACTTAGCATCTCATTTATTAATCTTCTTATATCTTGCTTTACTTGGCTAAATATTTCCCTTCTGAACTTGTCTATGAGGTCCTGAAGATATCTCTTTATTTCCACTGGTGCTGTGTCTGATATTGCATGTTTGCTGTTCTCATTCTCCTTTGTATTTACTTGCCCTGGGTCAATGTTCTCAAGGTTGGGACCTGGGGACTTTTTGTTGTTTTTTCGTCTTCCCATCTTTTTTGCTTCTTCCAGGAGTCCTCAATTTCTTTCTTTGTTGGTTACAATTTTTTGAAGCACACTGGCTATATGACCCTTCCCACTGCTGTGTGCTAGTGAGTTGCAGACAGGGACAGTGTATGCTAGCCCCTTTCCTGCTGTGGCCTGCATTGTATTACTATATGCTGCATTCCCTCTGGGTCAGTCAAGCTGCTGTGGCCTGCAATGTATTACTTTGCACTGCCTCCCCTCCGGGTCAGTCAAGCTGCTGTGGCCTGCACTGTATTACTTTGCACTGCCTCCCCTCTAGTTCAATCAAACTTGAGGCTTCACTGGGTTAGTGTGGTTAGTGTGCACCACCACTGTTGGGATCTGATTTCAGATAACCTATTGGGTCGCAGCCAGGTCATGTGACCCAGGCCTAGTTCACTCCACCAATCCCATTTGGGAAGGAAACAACTGACTGAAGTCACTGCTGCCACTTGTACTTGCCAGTCCTGCCCAGTCCCAGAATGTCATCCGCCGGAGCCCCCCTTTCTATGGAATGACTCCATTCTCATCACTCATCACAGGTCAATGTAGGCACCCTGCCAACTCAGCTCTCCATTTGGCTCACCAACCCCCGAACTCAATGTAATGGTGCCTCCAGTGAGTCGAAGTGGGAGGAGCTTGGATGGCTTGGCAAGTCACGGCGGGACCTCGGCAAGTTGTGGTGGGACCACGGATGGTCGGCAAGTCACCCACTGTGGCGGGAACACTGAACCTTTAGCTGTTCCAATAATAGCACCGGGACTGTTTGGTTGGTTCTTCTCACCTTAATTTCTTCTTGGGATGAGAGAATTCATCTCCCTCTGGGGCTCCCCATTCTGTATTATGTTGAATTCTAAGTTGACTATCTCAGGGAGCCTCTGTAGCCAGTTTTTATCTATCTGCTGCCATTTTCATTCCTCCCCCAAATTGATGCTTTTTAAAAAGTAAGATCTACCTAAGAACAATTGAGGAATTGCTAATGAGGGAAATGACAAACCTGGGTCCCATGCATTGTCGCTGTTAAAAGTGAGTGACAATGGTGATGAAGGCATAGGAATGATCTCCTGATATGTGCACATATAGTAGAGCTGGTGTGATTTGGGGGGGAGTACTGGGGCTTGAACTCATGACCTCATGCTTGCCAGGCAGACGCTTATGCCACTGAGCTAAATCCCTAGCCCGAGCTGGTGTGATTATTGCTGTAGTTTCCTATCACTCTTACACCTTATTCACCACGTTTGGCACCACACATCTCATAGCTCTTCCTCAAAATCAAAATGACCATGAAAGGGAAACATTTGAATCAATTCAGGACACTGAGTCTACCATGACAATGCAACTTAAGACACAAAAGAAGACTTCCAGAACTGCTTCAGAAACCAGAGTGATAGGATGAGTTTGTTCAAACTAAGGGGAAGTGTTATAAGGGTAATTAATGATTAAATATCTTTAGTGTAAGAAATTTTTAAAATTTAACTATAGACTGTGTGTTCCAATCACATACTGTATGCTCAGACTCTTGTGCTTAATGGAAGAGGGAGGACACAAATGCTATTCTCGATACAGGTTGAAACTCTGTTCAACTGAGCTACAGACATTAAGTGAATCAGTCCAGTGACAACTTATGGTACACAGTATTCAGCAGTATACAGAGTTTACACTGCACTCTTCAGTGATTTCTTTAAAAAAATTAAGAGTATCTTGTACAAATTTACAGCAGTGTAAAACACTATGTAGTGTGTTAATTACCTTAGCAATATACATCTAAACTATATTTAATAGGCATAATGCATAACTGAATCAGTGTACTGACAGCTGGGTGAGACACTGTATTTGGCAATGTGCTGTGCATGAAATACTTTCTCTAGTGAAATATGTAGAAATTCTGTGTGAGTTTATATAATATAACTGTGCAAAATCTTGGGTTCTGTGCAATGTGGTGTACAAACTACTTCTGTAAGTATGTATGTTGTCACTGTATTTCACAGAGTTAGAAATAATTATATGAATCACTCCAGGTAACGAGAACCCTGCAAAGCATTCTTGGAATGTGTCAACTACTTTCTTTGGCAGATCATGTTAAAAGTTACGATGTTAACAGCACGTTAAAAGTGTGATAAAGTGACATAGATGCATGAGTGAATGATATTATCATGCTGACTATGAAACCTGTGTTTTGCAGTATAGTACTGTACATGCATTTGTTTCTTCTGTGACAGATAAAGAATTTCTGTTTAACAGAGGTAGACATGTAAATCATTCAGCCTATGGCTATCTGGGAAAAAGTGTCATTAATTAGCAGTTTATGGTGAAAGAACAGATTTTTCTAGAGACAAATTTTGAAATTCATTGTTTAACAGATCTAATGGAACGAATGATTTAGCAAAATATTTTCTCTGTAAGAGACCATGCTTGGCACTGTCTGATGTATGTGTGTGTGTGTGTGTGTGTGTGTGTGTGTGTGTGTATGTGTGTGTAGCTTATACTACTTTCCTAGTGACATATGTTGACATTGCTAAGGTCATAGAGGATGAAACTTTAACAGTCCCACATGCATGATGGATGCAGACAGTGATATACACGTACCTACATTTTATTTCCACTCTGCAATCTCTGGCTGGTGTATCCCATGAGCTAGTCCTTATCAGAAGTTAGAGGCCCAGAGCCTATGTGGATCATGTATTTATCATACGTGAAGTGCAGGTTTCCAACCCTAGTACCAAAAAGAAGAAAAACAACACAGTTTGCAGCATTGCTATGCTACTTATCTCATTATCAAAAAATAAAAAGGAGTTCCTCTTATGTGATAATAGTTTGAACATGAGTAGCCTCTGAATTTGCATGGTCATATTCTCAGTGGTAAACTAATGAAAGATTAGCATAACCTATATATGCAGGATGAATAGGAACTCAGACCTCTCAGAAACGCAGAGTTGGTTCTTAAGTAAGAAAAAATTCACACGCATCTAAGTGCTGACCAGAGGCAAGGAGGTGAACTTGCACTGAATAGATGAGGAGAAAAGCCAGGATGTATTTAATGCTCTAGAATCAACTGCTGATCAAAGACTTCATATGTATATAACAATTTGCTACTAAAGTCATTGAAAGTTAATAATTACCCTTCCATAATTCCCTTTCTTCCACTATTTTACACTGGTGAAAATCAGATTTACATTTAGTTTACAGGTAACTACAGGTGTTCATCAACAAGACTGACAGAAGAATGTCATCCGGAGAGCCAAACATTGGCATGTGGCCTTACAGTACTGGCAATGGGACTGGGGAAAGTTTGGTAGCCATGTGGAAGTCCAGGGTAACACTGGATGTAGAAACTTTGGATTTATGGGGAAAAGATGTCTGTGCAAATTTATGATGATTTTGGGCATCCAAGGAATAGAGCGTAGTAAGTACTGTGCTTCTTAAGATGACTTCCTGACTACAAACATTTCCCTTCTCTGATACCTGGGTGCAGGTATGCCTTAACATCTCAAATAGTGAACCCTCGGATCAAAGCTTTAGCTATCAGATGCTTTCTATTACTCAGTCTGTGAGCCTTAGATGCCCTCAGTGCCAGTTGGTGAACCCAAAGCGATCACAACAAATGGAAACCACTCAGTATCGTGGGAACATTAGGAAGTAGATTTTACAAAAATGGGGACGCCTGGACTTCAAGGGTATAAGTATTTACTAGTAATGATTGATACTTTCACTGGATGGGTCAAAGTCTTTTCCACTAAATCTGAATCAGCTCAGATTGTTGTAACCTAGTTTTAACCATTGTGCCTCATTTTCTGTTCTGTATGCATCTTATTTGTCTCCCCCTCTCCTTTCCCCTTCCTATTTATCTAGGTTAAGTTTCAATTTCCTGAAAGGCCATAAAAGCCTTAGGTTTCAGTTTCTGGTAACCCCCTCCCCTACCCCTCATCTGGCTATCTGTAATAAAATGTGCTGTTCTTTAAGAAATGCTCTCCTCTGTAAAAACTGTAAAATCTTACCTAATTGATATGTTAACCATTGTTGCCCTCTACAAATCACAGATGTTTACCCAATCTAAACTTGCTTGTATGCAGGGAGAGTTGCTTGTTAGCCCAACCCTTATCTGAACTTTGTTCTTCCCAATGTAATCACCTCCTTCCTGTCCTATAGTGTGCCCCAGCCCTCCTCCTTGCATTGTGAGACCAGCAGCTGTTTGTGGTTTTTACAAGATAAAAGCCCTGACTTTTAGCTGTCAGGCGTGCAGTCTCCAAATTGGCTCCCGAGGATTGCATCACCAAGCTTGGCCTAAAATAAAGCCTTTGCTCCCCAAATTTTAACTTCTTGCTTCCTTGGGTTTTATTCTGGGGTCCGAGCTATCACAAGATGGTAGTCAAAAAGCTTTTATATGAAGTTGTCTCACGATTTGGCCTCCCTTTATCCATGGGGTCCGACAACAGCCCAGCTTTTATAACCCAGATAACTCAAAAACTAACCCAAGCTTTGCAGATTGATTGGAAAATCCATTGTGCTTACTGGCCTCAAAGTTCAGGACAAGTTAAAAGGATAAACCAGATCCTAAAAATGGTAATAACTAAGATGGCATTGGAAACTGGCGAGAACTGAGTGAATCTCCTTCCTTTTGCCCTCTTGCATGCACAATGTACCCCCTATGTTGCAGGTGTTTCCCCTTTTGAAGTTCTATATGAGGGAGTTCCTCCTCTTATTCCTAAGATTTCTGAGAAAAAATTAGGTGATCTGGCTAATCAAGATCTCATTAAGTTGCTCCAGACCCTCCAGCCAGTACTAACTTTTATCCATCGATTATTATGGCAACAACATCCTCCACCTGCAGTCCACTCTGAAGAATGCCCTGCAGTGGAACCTGGGACACTAGTCCTCATCAAGAGACATCACTGTAAATCCCTCAAACCATGGTGGGAAGGCCTCTGCACCGTGGTCCTCAGCACTCTGACCGCCGTCAAAGTCACGGGAAAGCCTGCCTGGATTCATCATTCCCACTTCAAGCCAGTTCCAGCCTCCAACAACAATCAACTTACAGATAAGTGGACTGTTGCTCCCTCCAAGGATCCTTTAAAACTTAAAATTGCCAAATGTAACCGATAATCTTGTTCTTATGTATTCTTCCTTATAGAGACCCAAGGAGATGCCTCATAACCCACTGTTTGGAACTTGGAAAATTACTATTTCACTGGTAAATAATTGGTAGCCAATGCTACTGTCCATGAGATAATTAAGATAGATTTATGTGTCCTATTAGATAATATCCCAGCAAAAATTAGACCAAAGAGAATGTTATTGGGTCAACATTCCATGTTGCTAATGAAACCACCCAGACCTTGCAGGGACTTATGTAGTCAAAAGGAATTACAGTTCACTGGCAGGTATCTTTGCCCCCAAAAGCAACAGTCAGCCTCTGATCACACTGATCACACTATTAGGTGTTCACAGTCTGTAGAGACAAAATATTTTTGTAGACATTGGGGTTGTGAGTCTATATCTCTTTGGCAGGGAAATAAAGGGGATTGTTACTTTTTCTTCACTCGGGAGACCTCATCTTCCTGCACCCTCAACCAATGTAATCTTATGACTTTCAGACCTAAAATCCCAACTGACCCTGTTTGAAAAGCAGGATTACATTATGGTATTAGGTTGTGAGTCTCTAGATATGACCAGAAAGCACCTTTACCATTCAGTTCATTCCTGGGCCTGTTCGGACAGCCCCCATCAGGCCCACAGGCCCTCAAGCTCCCCAGCCACCTCAATCTCCTCCTGTTACTCATCTTCTGCCCTCCTCCACTAGACTTCCTGCTCCTAAGACCTTTTTGCCCTCTGCCATTTCTGCGCCATCCCTAGACCCCTTCTTGCCTCTAGACATTGCTTACCAGTTTCTTAAACTTAGTGCCCCAAACTTCACTGCTGACTGCTGGCTATGCCTTCCATCTCGACCTCCCTTCTATATGGGCACCCCTGTGACTATTATGGCAAATCAACTTTTAAATTCCTCTGCAGACGACACCACTTGTTGGTGGGGTGCTAGGCCCCTGCTCACACTGGACAATGTACAGGGTGCTCCAGGAACCTGGGTTTACTCTGCCCCCTACTCCTTGCACACTTCCCCTTATGCTGCACTCTGTAATCCTACCTCTTCAGTTGTGATTCATAATTTTTCCTATCCTGCTAATCAGCACCTTGTTGCTCCCAACGGAGCCTGGTTTGCCTGTACTTCTGGTATAACTCCATGTTCTATGCCTCCCCTGTTCACCCAGTGCCCTAAGCTTTGCATATGGGTCCATATCTTTCCCCAAGTGTATTGGTACTCTAAAGATAATGATAGGAGTCATTTGTTCCCTAGCTTTGACTTAAAGAGTCTGACCAAATAAAAAAAAAAATCCTGTACTTTTACCTGTATTACTAAAATTTGAGATAACAAGGTCAATAGTTTAAGAGTGTCCAGCCTAATAGTTAAAAGACCAAAATTATAGACACTAAAGTATACTCATTAACCAGGATCTAACAGCCCTCAGTGACTCTGTCTCCAAATTAGACGATTCTTTAAGTTCACTGGCTGAGATAGTTTTACAAAACCAGCAGGGTCTAGATCTCCTGCTCCTAAAGAAAGGAGGCCTCTGTCTGGCATTAAAAAAAATTTGTTTTTATGCCAATCATTCTGGGGTTATCAGACAAATATGGCCAGCCTTAAAAGGCAGCTACAGGAATGAGAACAGGCCAGAGAAGCTAAACAGAACTGGTTTAAATGATGGTTTTCTCTATCTCCCTGGTTGACAACGTTAATCCCAGCAGCCTCTGGACCTCTGTTAATCTTACTTACTTATTTAACAATTGGACCTTGCATTATAAACAAATTAGTAAATTATGTCAAAGACCGGCTTCAAACAATAAAACTCATGATTTTAATTAAGGACACAAGTTTATAAACAAATACCACTGTTTGAAAATTCCATGAGCCAATGATTTGATTTGACTCACTGACAAAAATCAGTAGGGAATGTTATACTAAGATGCTGAAAAATTAAAATAATTGATTAAAAGATAATTAGCAAAAATAGTTAGTTAAAAAGATAGTTATTAGCAATATTGTCATTCTGTACTGACTCATTACCCTAGTAACCACGCACCGACCACATAGTTATAGATTAACTGACCATGTGGTTATGCTGTTTTGTACGTGTAGCCCCCCCCAAGTAACCTGTGTGCTATGTCAACCTTTGTTCCCCTTGTAAGAGACAAATGATGTTGTGTCAACCATTGTTCCCTTTATAAGAAACAAATGTTCCTGAAATTGACAGACCAAGGGCTATAAATTGGCTAACCACCCACTGTGAAATGCCTCTGACCTCAAGCAAAGGGGAACAAAGGCCCACCTTGCTTCTGTTTCTCATCATTACATAATGATGAGATGTACTTAATGATGTACTTAATGATCAATGAGCTAATCATAAATGAACTATAAAAATCAGTCAAAATTCTAACTCAGTTGCACAGCTTTGCAAATTCCATCTGCACTGTGTCGCTGGGCCAGCTAAAAAAAAGGCGCTTCTTCCTAAAAACGACATCGTTTTGCCTTGTCTTTTCCATCTCAGGGGTTTTGCCCCATTTTTCATCTTGGGGGCCTTTTTGGGGAAGTACACGACCAACATAGGAATGCATTCTAATTTCTTTAGGCCACACCAATGTAATAATGCTGTCAATTTTTGC